CCTGTACCCCCACGGCTTGGAATGGTGTTGGGTGTATAGTAGGAAAATAAAACTTGCTGAATAAATTAACTTCTTTCAGATTAAAGTATTAAAAAATAGGAAATATTTCAAAATTGAACACTGAGAAATGGAATCCAAATGTTTCAATCTTCTGAGAATTTAAATCTTCGTTCTGTTGTTTCCATCGACTATGAGAGCTTAATCAATCCTTACAGAGCGGGTTTAGTGAATTTTAAAAAACTACTCTCAACACAATTTAACAACTATTAATCAAGCATCTATGGCAGACAATGCCATCTTTTCTCAATTATTCACGTGAAAATAGGAAAGAACAAATTAATAAAGTTCTCACGTATTCCTCCAACATGTTTACTCCGGTCTCTCGATTCTAAATGACTGTGGCTGCAAATAAGCACTAAACTCAACAGATCCTAAGTTCCAACTACTCTTTTCTCTATCACTTTTTGACAATAATTTACAGTCCTTTGTTAAAAAATAAAACCCACCGAAAACAAGTGTAGTAGTATTATAATCATTCGACAAATTATTTTACCAAGGAGCCTGTCTAGCGTGCTCAGGGAAAGGTAGGTTGGCAGCTAAAACGTGAAAAGGATACTTTTATGGACAAAGATAAGATTCGTTTGGCCCAGCTGGACGGCAGTCACCATCGCTGTTTCCTCATTCAGTACGGCCACTTGCCCAGAAGGAGACTCATTATATGCAACTCTGTGGTCTTGCAACTCCAGTGTATAATGTTCCAGGGGAAACGCCACCTCTGAAACACACAGAAGACACATAAACGTGACGAGAGCAGCCATTCCAACAGACAGCGGTGGGGTTGGATGGTGAGAAAATCCGGAAGCGGGCCCAACCTCCTTCCCACTATAGTGAATTTCCACATGGAGCCATTGTGGGGGGTGGGGGGTGGGCGGACACTACACCGGTGTACTGAGGCTATTGGTTTCTTCTTACAGACCAGTGACCTGAGGGTAGCAGCGGGAACCCCACTGGGCACGTCAGGAAAGGGTTAACCCTACCGGAGCCTACGCACACTTTACAAGCTCAGTGAGACTTTGGGGATCAACAGAGTATTAAATTTTCAGTTAATGAACTGAGTTTCTCAAGAAACAATTTTTGCAAAGATCATTCGAGTCCCTCCAGGTAGTTTTTTTTTAATTGTCCTAGAAAAGCTAGAAAGTTTTTGGTTATTGTTTTAATAGAGAAGTCAGCTGCCCAAGGTCACTGAAGCTGAGCAGCCACGCTGCAGCGTCTGCTCTGTTAAAGATGTGGGGACCATGTGTCCAGTATTCGCTCTAGCACAGCAATCTAGGACTACCTCACCACGCAATCTAAAAACACCGAAAACAAGAATTTTGCATACACGATGTAGAGGCGCTTCTCTTGCTGTCAACAGTAAGGATGTGGGAAATGTCAGTCTTAGGAAAAGATTAATCGCCTTACCTGTCACCCTTCCCTGAACCATTTTTGCAACTCGGTATTTAATATAGGCTCCTACTAAGAGATAAATATCATGGGATGGTATAAGAAATATATTCTCCAAAACGAGCAGACGTATCAATGCTGCTGCCACTTTCTGAAAGAGGAAGGAAAAAAACCAAAGTTTCTAAACTTGAGGCATAACCCCCAAAGCCACCTTCCTTGGTAAAAGTTTACTTCTTGTAAGTTTATTTTAAAATATTTTATAAAAATTAAAAAATGTTTTCTTAACCACAATCATAATTTCGGTTAGCCTTAAGAAGTGATCATGAATCTTAATACTATTTTAACTTTCTAAGTCACTTTCTAACGCACTCGAACTAAGAAAGGAAAATGACAAGTCTTCCAGAGGAGAAGAGCAGGTAAAGAAAAAGGCAAGGATGTCGAAAGGAGGCAAGGCAAGATGGCTGTTACGCCGCCCAAGTTCTTTTGACCACCCTCCAATGAGTGGACCTTCCAGATCAGGTCACTCTGCCCCCTGCCGCACACGCTGATGCTTGCGAAGGCGAGCCCAACGCAACGTTAGCAGGCTGCTCTCCAGGACGTCAGTACACCTGCGTTCTCGCCACTTGCATTAAATTCTTACCAAAAGACATATGTTTTTCTCAAACCTATTTATGCCAGTTGCGCTTTTAATTATAATTACATGAAAACAGAAACCATGAATGCAAAAAGAGAGCTACTGTTTCTACTAAAAAATTAAATGTTTTGAAAAGAAGTTAAAGTCAAGCTGCTAATAATGTGCTGATACCAAAATAGGTGTAGGTGGGAAATGCAAAAGATTGAGGGGGGAATCCTTGAAAAATACAGAATTCTGTACTCAAACTGTTTCATATGTGTCTAATTTTTCCTTGACTATAAAACGAAATGAAAAATGAAAAGAAAAAGAAACGAGAGACTGTCATTTATGCCAGAAAGAGTTCGTATATTTCTAACCAGTGAACTCAAAATCACAGAAAGGACTGGACCTACAGCAAAGGATTGGTGAATAAGACGCAGTTATGTGTTTTAACAGAAAATGCCCGTTGTATCTGTACTTGTAATTAGGTAATAACATATTTAAGGAAGATAAGTTTTTTTTTTATGTTTACCGACTTCAAATGACTTTTTCAATTAAACAACCAACTACTGGCCCAAATTGCATCATGTTTGAGGGCTTCTACTATAGGTTAACAAACGTAAGAAACTTTATTTTCTGTAGGCAAGACTATTAAGTGAAAGTTTACGGCACAAACTTTTACCTTATAGAATGGTTCATAAATCCGAATTTTTACAATAGCGGCACCAGTTCTAATCCCAGACACCAAAATTATATCTCCCTGTTTCTCGTCTTTTTCCATCTCGGTTATATACGCTGGAGGAGAATATTCTGCTTCAGAGTATTTTAGAATCCTAAAGAGATAACATAAGATTTGTTTCTAGTAGATACTTGATTCAAGTAATCAGGCCCTAAGCCACTTTAAATGGTCTCTTCAAACGTCTACAGAGTGAGTGTCAAAAGTTTTAAAATGTATTTTCCGCAAGGACTAGATAGAAAAGTATTTAATGTGCTTCTGGCTAAAAGCGCCGTGGAACTAAAAGCTGGATTGTCCGAGGGCTATTTCCTGGTACTGAAGACAAAATTTCATATTATTTTCCACTCACGGTATTCTAGCAACAAAACGGCCAAAAGATGTGCCCGACTCAGACTGCACAGTCCTCAGTTCACACTCTTCTTTGCAGTGGCTCAGAGTAAACTATCATAAAGGTACCTACGTCCACACCACACTACATCCTGTATCCTTACTCTGTTGAAGACACTTCCCCCTGGTTAACTGATCGGTTCCAAAAAAGTCCAGACAGCGGGATTATCGAAGCCCACACAAGTGGCTGCTGTTCAGTGTGCCACAAAGGCAGATGTCGCTTTCAAAGTCAGATGGTCTATGTTTGGTTTCGAGGTTACCTGATTTTGCCAGACAGTTCTTCTCTTAATGATTCGTTATCCTGGGCGACGCTCCACTCAAACATCATCCCCGCCAAACTGCTGAAAGTATTTCCTGTAGGGTAAGCCAAAAGCAGACAGGACAGACTCACGCTCAAAACACTCGGGTACTTTTAGTGAGAAAGAAAAACCTAAGCAGAAAATTAGTTTTAGGCCTCTTTCATTAACAGACAGAAGCACTCATTAATGAATTAGAACACATGTACCGAGGAGATCCCTACAGAAACAAGGTAAGTGTTATTGCTACATGAGCTTTCTGAAAGAAAAGAGGACTCAAGCTGATCAACTTCTGGTTGACAAAATTATGCCACTTCTTCTGTTTCTTCATAAAGGCCAGCTTATAGTTGGCCGCAGGGTTGACAGCCATCCCTAAACCCTGGTCCCTTCAACAACAATTTTTATAAAAATGAGATTCTGCAATATTTCTAATACGTTCATTTTTCAGATTAACAAAATTACTCTTTCCTAAATAGCTTAGAAAGAGGCAATAAGTTTAAATTTTTTCAATGTCACATTATAACATTAGCATAGTATATTAAAACCAATATAAAATCAGGCTCAAGAAAGATAAAACCATAAAACCTTTTCACAGGTTTACATTTCATTCTCCTAGCTTATAGAGAGTAGACTGATCAAAACAGAGCTAGCAACAAGTTCCAAAAAATGTTCTTAATTGCTGACCATCAGCAGAAGCTAAGTGACAGAACTTAGGTATTTAAGAAAACTTATGCGATAACTGACAATTAAAAATAGCAGGATGGCTGTGATTCTATAGTGTAGCGGTTAGCACGTCTGCTTTACACGCAGGAAGTCCTGGGTTCACGCCCCATGGAGCCACGGTCCATGGTCTACAGCCACGCCACCCTGAACAAGCCCGATGTCTGATCTCGGAAGCTAAGCAGGGTTGGGCCTGGTTAGTACTTGGATGGGAGACCACCCAGGAAGAGCAGGTATCGTAGGCATAACAATAATAAATAAATAAAAATAGCAGGAAATTTTTATGAAAGTATCAGCTAACGCACTGAACTACACTCAGAATTATTAATCCCGCATGTACGTGAGCTTCGTGTGAGAAAACAAACGTTCTCTCCAATCCAGTCCTATCTCTCAAGCTGCGGTCTGCGCGGACGAAGTGCCAGGCTCCCACTGTGCTTCCCCAAGGCTGTGGAAGCCCCCGGTTCTTTACCTTCGGCATCCAGCGCCCTCACCATCAGTTCCAGGGGCGCATCATCTACGTAGAGTTCCCGCGTCCGAGACACAATCTCGATGCTGTTGATCACGTCGACCCTAACATCACAGCGCAGTTCATGGTCGGTCACTACGATGAATCCAAAAACTGAGAGTTTAATTCAACAGGCCATGAATCTATTAAATGTCTCAAACACTCAAAGCTTATTCTAAACGTTAGGAAACAAAGGCTGGAGTGGCTGTTTTCTACCTGGGGAAGAAAACAGCATAATGACCAAATAAAAGAACTTCTGCTTACAATAAGAGACATCAGACCAGTGGCTCCCAGACACTGAGCTATAATGCTGTTTTCATTCATCCACGAAAAAAATGAGAAAAATAATTTTAAGATAGCAAATAATTAAATTTGTTCACTTTAATAGAATATACTTTATTCTTACATTCTTAGTTTTGAAGTGTTAAAATGTTTTTCCTTGTATTAAATTATGGGAATAGATTTTTAAAACTATATTTAGGAAAATAAAATGGTAGCAGCCGTGTGTCAGTCCTGCCGAAAAATTTCTCTATTTTTCATGAGATAAAAGCCTGGGAACCATGTATTAGATCCAGAGTTCCAGTCAGTACGGCCATAATGGAATTCATAAACACAGACTGAAACGGTACAGAATAAAATGAAAATTGTTTTGCACTGTCTTTTAACGGTATGCCCCTCATCACACTTGCCATGTATTAGAAAGCTGTCTACACAGCCGCCCCTTGTGCTGTTGTAACTATGCTTAAGTTTTAGCTTCATCTTCAAGAAACAAAAAGCAAAGTAACTACCACTACAATATCCAAAAGTACTAATAAACGTCACGGGTAAACTCTGTCCCTAGCTGTGGATCTGCTTTTATGGATTTTTTAAATGAAGGGATTATGTTAATCAGATGATACATGTAAATGCCCCTCAAATAAGGCTAAGGAGCATTGAAATATGCTATTGCAGTAAAAGCTATACTTTCTTTCACAAGAAACATAAAAATTGAATTAATTATACAGAAACCACATTATATTTATACTAGGGTTCAACAAATAAGTAAATATGTTGTAGATGATGAGTCAGTTTTCTCGCTGTGATGCAAGATCAGAACCAAAGGAACCAGTACGAGCTCGTTTATTTTAATATATACGTAGCTAGACAGAAATAAATATGAATGTGTGTACACGTGGGTCAGTATACATTCACGTGTCTCCTAGCACGGCGTGCTGAGAGGGCCTTAGGAGCAGTGGCACTCCAGGAGCAACGAGCACAAGACCAACCCCGCCCCCGCGATCTTGGTTCTTAACTACTTTCTCCATCAAAAAGAACCGGGACTCCTTGAGGACATGGCTGGGCGGGGAAATATTAGTAAACAAGGGTGAAACACTTTTTTATCCCCTAGAAGCCAAACGGCTGAGGAGACAGGGTGGGACTCATGTGCCAGGAGCCCTTCCAGTGTTGGAGACAAATACAGGTCAGCTCTATATCACTCCGGAGCCAAGTGAAGAGTCCGACACTTAGAGGTTTTAGGAGTTTTTGTTTTTAATGGAGTCTTTTAAGAAATGCTGCATCACAAACAGTCTCGCTGGCGCAGAGGAAGATGTTGTGGGAATAAACGCAGAAGTTGATGATTCCAATCAAAAAGTGATTCGGATGAGGCAGAAATGTTAAGGGAGTTTCAGGAACATCTTAACCGGATTATTTTGTTTGTACTTTCCTTTTTATTACGCACGGGGCGATGCATAATAAAAAGAATCATCTAATTAAGTCAAAGAATTCTTCAGTAAGTACAAAGTAAAAATTCTAAATGAAGAAAAGCATAATTTGTCAGTATTTTTCTAAGAGGTACATAAAAAATAGCTTTACAATGGATGGCATCTTCAATTATGTGAAATATGATATACCAAAAATCTCAAATTTCTCATTAATATCATACTATAGAGATATCATTGATCAAAATATTTAAAAACCAGTATGGCCATGCCAACCCTGAACGTGCCTGATCTCGTCAGATCTTGGAAGCTAAGCAGGGTTGGGCCTGGTTAGTACTTGGATGGGAGAACACCTAGGAAGACCAGGTGCTGTAGGCGTTTAAAAAAAAATTAGAAAAAAATCTTTAAAAACCATACAGATATCTCTGGCCTATCAATATGGCACTGAAGTGCCAGAAACACAGGGACACAAAGAGCCCTGCTCTGATTTTGGATACAAAGAGCATTTCTTGAGCTGCTCCGCTCTAAAACAGACCAGTGTGGTCAGTACTCCCCAGACTTCAGTATGCATGAGAATCACCCAGAGCTTGCCCGGGGCCCACCCCAGAGGCTCTGGCACAGCAGAACTGAGTTGGGGCCTGAGAATTTACATTCCTAACAAGCTCCCAGGTGATGCTGATGACACAGGCCACACTTTGGGAAATGCTAGTCTTTATACGACCGCCTTTTGCCTCACTCAAGACTAATCTCAGATCTGAACACCTAAGCTAGTTCTGATAAATAACGCCTTCTTTTCTTCATCAGTTCAAACAACTAGTTTCCACTCTGTATCAGGCATCATGCCAGCTGCGGGTTACACACACACACACACAAAGTCACAGAATAGGATGTCACAATTATTTCACTGTTACATAGTGTGTTTTCTCTCAACATACTTATCTCTCGAGCAAGAATAATACTGCTGAGGCGTACAGGTTGGGTAGATTCAGCAATGAGCAGAGCTTTCCGCGAACATGAGGTGCCATTTTCATACAAAGGCTCCACAGTTACCGCATCATGATGGGTGGAGTGCCTGCCAGAATAAAACGCTCAAGAGTATGAAATAAGAGTAAGTTGAGTTTAAATTAATTTTGGTTTGTCCATGTTACAGACTACCAGGTGTATTTAAATGACACTTTTTAAAGTAGAAACGTTACTTAGGGACACAAGATTTAAGTGAGAAAGACTGATCAGAACCTTTCTCCAATATTCCCCTGTGCAAAGTTACAAAAGTATTACATGCCTCCCTCAATATTTAAGATTAGATTGTTACATTCTTCCCTATGTAAAAACAGGATCGATGTGTTTCCAATAATGGGAGACGTGGCTTTCTCATAGTCTGCGGAATGAGTTTCCTTCAATCCTAGAAACTGGGCTGCTGACATTAGAAAAGTTGCCTAAATTATGAGGTGTGCATCCACCTCAGAAAAAAATCATCGATATTTTTGGACAGATGGAATGCCTTTCGCATTGGGTCATCTTATAAGATTCTCTTATACTTCCTCGTAAAATGGGGGTGAACTGCTTACACTCTGAACAAACCTTAGTGCTGCTCTTAGGAGACGGTAGTCTACTCCATTCGGGATGAACCCTCTGATACCTTGGAGCCCACACACCTTACGTAACCACACAGCCTATAGCTGGGTCCTCTCACACTGGAAAACACGTCTTTCCATCCTCAGTCACAGAGTCATCCCCCAGAACGAGTACCCCTCGTCTCACACTTCAAAAGGGCAGTTCATTTAAGGGAGGAAACATATAAATTACAGGAAGATCTCATCTCCACCCAAAATTAATCTGCTCATCTTACAAGTTTATATACTTCATGGCCTCTGGGCCTCAGTTCCCTGGGCCTCATCTGTAAAATGGGATAACAGTACTCACCTCCCAAGATTGTAAAAATTGAGTCAATATATGCAAAGTGCTTGGTTAAGTTAGGTTTTGAGACCCTTTCCCACCAAAAACCTCGCCTTATTTTATTAGTGGGGCCCTCACACCCCAAGCCCCTCTGCTCCTAGATAAATTTCCTCCGACCGTGCGAACTTCCTGTAGCTCTAACTGTTGACATCGGAAGTTCCCCACATTGGGCAGCCCCGACACCCGAGGCTCCAACACAGGGCTCCCTGGACCCTGAGAGCTGCTCCCACTGTGCCCACCCGTCCCAACGCACACACACAACGTCACATCCTGGGCATTTCTCACACAAGGCCCCACACATGACCTGAAGACCTCCCGCACGAGGACGCGCCACATCGGAAGGCCTGGCCACTCCACTCCCACCATTTCCGGGGCGTCTTACGTTGGGCGAGCCCCCCTACCCCGACTGGGTGCTGTGGGGTGCACGCCCGCGACCCGCCACCCTCACCAAGTGTAGCAGCCCCGCTGTGCCTCCAGCAGGAAGGGCACCCGGCCCGGCTCCCGGCCGTAGGGCAGCAACACCTGCGGCACGTTCAGCTTGTTGGCCAGGGTCCCGAGCGAAACCAGAAGCAGCAGTGACAGGCGGTGTAGAGAGAGGCACGGAATCGGCGGGGA